AGAGAGAGCGAGAGCGAGAGAGAGCACGCGAGCCCAGAGACGGCAGGACCCCTTTGGCAAGGATAACAGAAATTAGCTGGCTGCCAGGTTGCAGGGGATGATCTGCTGAGATCAGGAGGATGAGAAAAGAATCCAGTGGCTGGAGCCTGCCTGCTGTACTCAGCCACAGGCTGGAGTGTGTGATCTGAATAACAAAAGGAGCTCCTCTCTCCCAGCCAGAAGGATGGAGCTTCTATTCAGACAGCAAGTTGTGTGCGAGAGAGAGAGAGGGCGCAAAAGAGAGTGAGCGAGCTTGTGTAATTTCGGACTACTGACAAATGAGACTCAGGAAGTGGAGGCAGGGCTCTTGAGAAAGTGGGATGGATTTGGTCTCCCCCTCTGCACAGATGCTTACTACAGACCCATCTGCCCAGGAGTAAGCCTGTAAGGCTTAGCAATGTCTTTGTAGCAAAACTACCGCAGGTTTTACTAAATGAAATTCCACTGAGATGTGAGCTCCAAAATGTTTATGGTCAAGCGTTTTCTTGGTCAAAAACACATACGTGAAAGGAGAAAAGAATGCCAATGGGCAGCACAGAGAAGCGGCTGCCCCTAGAGGGCAGAGAAATTACAGCTCCAGCATTCCCTGTGCACTGACTGGCTGATATCAGAACACACTGCAATCCGCACGTCTGTATTTTTAAAAATGGCCTGGACATCCTGCCTTGATAAGAGCCAACAATCAAAGGTCTGTCTAGTGCAGGACGCTTCATGAAATACCTTCCAGGGGAACATAAAGACCAAGCTGTGTCTGGTGTTCGAGTAGCATCACACCTTCAAATGTTGCCATACATTATTTAAATATCAACCAAACAGCTGGAACAAAGAAGCAATTGGGCTGTGGATACAGCTCTAAATTCCTTACACACAGTGCACTGACTGAGTGCGCATTCCTCACACTACATTTCAGATTGAAGGGTGTCTCCTTCAGTGTAACAGGCGGTGCAAACGGATGAGGGGAATGCACTAACAGAACAAGGAACACGTTACCTTCTCCCCCCGCAACACCAGTATTAATATGGCACCCTGAGACCATCAGATGGGAGGCAGAAAAAGAAAAAGCCTTTTTGCTGTACTTTTTAAAAATGCCCTAAAAACAAACACAAAGTAGATGACAGAAAAACAACACATTGCTGACAGAGGGGTGAGGAGAAGGAGCAGCCGTTCTATATTAATAATTTAGGATGCAAAATAGAAGGAAAGATGATCTTGTTGAGGAGGAAAGACAAAAATAAAGGTCCTTGTGGTTATGACTTTGGGCTGAAAAACACAAACTCTAAGGTCTGTTCCCAGCTCTGGCACTTGCTGCCTGCAGGAAGGTTACTTAGACTCTGCATTCCACATCATCCCTTTTTTCGAAGAGTGGAAAGTTATTACTGCTACCATCCTTCCTTCTACAGTGATGCCATGCAGATCAAACTCATTCCCATTTGTTCTGTGCACCACAGAAAAATCTAACAAATAGCCTAGAAAGAACCTAGGAAAACAGAATATAAATCACCCAAGTTACGAGTCTGCCTGAACACTCAAGTTTTAATTCCTCATCCTTACACCTTGATGACAAGAGCCACAGCATCCTTGGGTGTCCTCAGGTGTTGAGGCCCTTGGTCTTGGTTTTATGTCTCATTTGAAAGATGGGACTTCTAATGTCACCATGTTCTCTAGCTTCAGGATTTGTTACTACCACCTGCATACCTCCAGTTCAGTTAAAGGGCAATGTGTCTCCAGTTTTGGTACCAAAATATAACAGCTCAACCAAAAGGTATTAGCTGAACTGCTTAACAGCTCTCCTTCACAGAAAGGGTGCAAAAGTTCATTGCAACCAGGCTGTATAACCCAATCTACTTCATAAGAAGATAATATCATCCATAAGGTTGTGCTTGTTGTTTTGCCAAGTGCCATTCAAAGCTGCACATATGATTCTTGAGGCATTAATGGAAAACCCTAGAGCCAGTTGGGGCTAATTTACACTCACAGTTTCATAGTTTCTAGGGTCAGAAGGGACCTGAGCAGATCATCTAGTCCGACCCCCTGCCATGGCAGGAAAGAGCACTGGGGTCAAACGACCCCAGTAAGGTGG